AAAAAAAAAAAAAGGTGTTTTAAATGGAAAGAATAAGAAAAAAAGACCCTTGAAAGCGTCATTTAAAAGGCTCCTGGGGAATGGAATCGTTTCCATGAAACAAAACTGCGATTGTTTGGAAGAGGTAAATGCCGGGCTGGAGTGGGGGAGGGAGCCCCGACACCCTCCCCTCCCCCAGCTCCCGCTCCAGTGGGAGGATGCTCGCTTAATCGCTCGCTCAGAGAGTGAGGGATCCCCCACGATGGCTCCCACAGCTACAAGCAAGGAATTTTCAAGTTCATGTTTCCAGAAATTTTATCACTGGGAATTTCCAGCCCAAGGTTTTGCTCTTAAACAGCTCTGCCTGTGGGAATCCGTCCTGAAACCTTCAGGATCTCTCAGAGAGGTCCAGTGAGGTGCCAGAAGGAATGTGGCCCCTGAGAACTCTGTGGCTCCAGGCTCCAGGCTGTGTTGTCCTCCCCTTGCCCTCCAACCCCCCCAGGGAAGAATGGAGCCAGAGTCACCCCAGCCAGCGCAGCAGCAGCCAGACTGTGGCCTGCACCTTGCTGCTCCCCTCACCCCAGGGATGCTTTCTGCCCAGCACTGGACGGGCCACCCTCCTTCTAGTCAGATAAACTCCCTCTTACTCTGGGGGAAGGAGAGCTGGGGGGTGTTGGGGTAGCACAGCCATGTGGCCTTATACCTGCCAAGAAGATAAGGAGGTAACGTCAGGGGACAGGATGGGTCTGGTGGAGCTCTGCCCAGAAAGGAAGCCACTAAACACCCATGCAGCTGGTGGCAGGAAACCTGGAGCTGGCTCCCTCCCACGCACGGGAAACTTCCCTCTGTAGCCTCTGCCTGTGCACCCCAGTCCCCCATCCGTGGGTCAGGGGCCGACGGAGTGATCTCCATCCTGGAGTCTGACTGTACCTGCTGGAAACATCCATGGGGGATCTGCCCTTCATCACCATCAACCTCCACCCCCCAGCACACACACACACAGGAGGAAACCTGAGACTTGGAGAAGGGAAGGTGTTCCTTGTCGGCGTAATGTTACTGTTGGGGGATTGATTGTTCCCGTGGAGTCTCTGGGATTCGGGACATGCTGTGACCAGCACTGGTGTGTCATTTTAGGGCTATGTATCCTGTGGGCCACGGCTGTGGAACACAATGGGTCAGAGTCAAAGTCAGTCACTGAAGTTCACTCAGAGGCCTGTCTCCTGCTGCCTAGTCATTATCATTGCATTCCTAACCCCCTTGCCCTCTGCCCACGACGCCACACTTGAGTCCCACGAACATGATCAGTTCCGGTCTAAAAACGGACACACAGGACACCTGGGTGGCTCAGTTGGTTAAGCATCGACTCTTGATTTCAGCTCAAGTCATGCATGAGTTCGAGTCTGGCATCAGGCTCTGCACTGGCAGTGCGGAGCCTGCTTGGGATATTCTCTCTCTCTCTCTCCCTTTCTCTGCCCCTCCCCTGCTTGCACTCTCCGTCTCTCAAAACAATAAATAAACATTAAAAAGAGAAAAACCCTGACACACAAATTGAACAACTTACGAGCTCACAATACAGTTGTAAATGGAATAGATTCATTGGTTCACATGCCTGAGGCATACAGGACTGAAGATAGTCTGGAAGGAACAAAATCCATGCAGAACAGGCCTCCTGGAGGAGGTGACCTTGAGTCTACCCCTTTGCGTCCGAAGCCCAGAAATCCATTCCTGGCCCTGAACCGCATGCAATGAATGCAGTCTCCTTTCTCCAACCTTCTGGATCATGGTCTCTTCTCACCATCTCACCCTACCCCCACTTTCAGATGTCTTTCTCCTCCTCCTCAGTTGACAGCCAAGGAGAGCTGGGTGAAGTCCTTCCCTCTAGGGCTCCATTTTCTCCATCTGCACAGAGGGGAGGGAGGATGGTTTCGAGGGTCCCCGTGGCTCTAGGCCACATGCACTTCCCCAGGGAGCTGGCCACAGGCATGCAGCCCCAGCCCCAGTGTGGAGCCTCTAAGTCCCGGTTCCAGAAAGGTGCTCGCTGCATTATCTGTTCCCTACCAGTTTCCTGACCCTGTCGTCAGGGTTGTGATTGCTGACCCCCCAGGAGGGAAGCTATTTTCCTCTCCCTTGAAAGCCATTTTCTTGTCTTGGTAGAAGCAGACATCTGACACTTTAAGAGGGAGAATGGCAGGGAGATGATGGCATTAAATAACAGAAATTAGAGCTACTGAGGATGGCTCAGCCACCCCGAGGCCCCCCTTCCCTGCAGCAGCCGCCCCATCACATGCATTCAGGACTGCAGCCTGCAAGCTGTCTGCAAGGCCCGGCCTCTCAGCGGTCACAGAGAGCAGGGGACTGCTTCTCCCTGAGTTCTGAGGCTCTTGTGTGTGTATGCAGTCCTGTGACAAACTAGGACAGAGGGGCCAGGGCCCCAAAGTCAGGGAGCTTGCTTGCAGCCTGAGAGAGCGGAATGTCACCGAGAAACCGGGGGAGCTCCGACTGCCTCACAAGCACCCAGGGCATCCTCAGCCTCCCCGGCACACAGCCCTGGGCATACAATAGGCGGTCAAAAGTATTTGTTAATAGACTGGTGAATGAATGGCTGAACAGGGGCCAAAGTGGTCCACATAACGGGCTGAGACCTGGCAAGAGAAACTGGCCCCTGGGTTCCTTTCAATCTTCCTGGCACATGCCAGCAGGTCACATTGTATCTTTCCCCCGCACCAACGGTCTCCCCCTTTGCCTTCCGAATTGAATAGCCACCTAGCTCTTCTGCCATCGTACCCTGATTCCCTCCACTTTCTCTGGCCCAGCAGCCCTCCCCGAGCCTGATCAGCCCACCACCTGGGCTCTGCTAAAGCCCCAGGCCGATGCACTGCCCGGGAGAGGGGCTGCAGGAAAAGCCAGCCACCTTCAGCTCCAGGCTTAGCTCAGTCTCCTGTTGCCACTGAAACCCTTTCCTTCTCCTCAGGCAGCTTATTCTAGTCTCTCCGCCTGGAATACCTTCCCCAAAGCCCAGAATTGACATCCTGAAATCTCACCCACCTAGCGCAGGGTCTGACAGGGTCAGCGCCTAACCAACGTTTGATGGTTGAATGAATGGGTAAGTTAGGGGCGCCTGGGTGGCGCAGTCGGTTAAGCGTCCGACTTCAGCCAGGTCACGATCTCGCGGTCCGTGAGTTCGAGCCCCGCGTCAGGCTCTGGGCTGATGGCTCAGAGCCTGGAGCCTGTTTCCGATTCTGTGTCTCCCTCTCTCTCTGCCCCTCCCCCGTTCATGCTCTGTCTCTCTCTGTCCCAAAAATAAATAAATGTGGAAAAAAAAAATTTTTTTTGAATGAATGGGTAAGTGAGTGATGAACAAATAAACGAGAGACTCATCTCCAATAACATCTCTTCTGAGGAGCCTTTGTGAGGCTCCAAAATCTGACCTGCACACTCCCTCACCAGAGTGCCCCTTCCAGCACATGGCTTCCAGGACTGCATGATGCCCACACTGTGCCCACCGTCTTTAAGCTGGGTGGCACCATGAGCTCCAGGACTGACCTAGCTTTGGATTCCATGCACGACTGTGCACTAAGTTCCCCAGGAAATGTTGTTGGTATTAAATGGACTCAAGCATCCTCGGGGATGATCCTCAGTTTCTCCACCCATGATATGGGCTGCCAGCTTCCACCTACACTGGCTTTGAGGCCCACCAGACACACTGCCCGGCTGCCAAACACGACCATACTGGGAAACCCTCCTTCAGCTTCTACAAGGACCAGCAGACTCTCTTACTTGGGTCCGAGGCTGCCAGAATCCTGGTTCAGAGCTGAGTCCCTCCTGGCCGTGGTGGGAGCTGGAGGGGCTTGAAGGGGGACACACACAGACTTCTGTCTCCTGGTCACTTCGGGCATCTCTCAAAACCTGGTGACAACGCGTGAGATTGAGTTTGCGGAATGAAGGGTCTCGGGGACACTTACCCACTGGGCAAAAGACATCCCACCCCGTGGTGTCCCTGCTCTGTGTGGGCTTTGCTCTATTTTTCTGTCATCCCCTTCAGACTGGGGGTGACCTGCCTCCATTCTCAGAGTGCACGTTCCCCAGAACTGAATGAGGCCACCCTGGGAAGTTCTGTTGCTCAGTTCGGGATTTGGGGGCATCCAGGCTTATCAGAGGCTCTGGGTCTTCTCACTGGGGAAGCAGTGATGCCAGAAGCTGAGCAGGGTCCCAGGGAACACCCACCTGCAGCCTGGGCAGCTGGGGCTCTGGGCGTGATGACACGGGTCCTGGCTGGCCGGCCCCCGGAGGGCAGTTTGGGGCTAGAGGCTGAGGGGCCCGGTGCTCGCGGAAGGCCACGCTGTAGGTCAAGCCCCCGCAGTGGCGGGCCGTGGGGTCCGCGCTGGCACGCAGCAGGGCCAGGCTGCCGCAGTAGTGGTACAGGTCCTCGTGCTCCCGCGCCCACAGGTTCATGCGGGGCTGGTCCGGCGCGGGAAGACCGGGAAGATGGCCTCGCCCACTCGCTGGGCGGAGTGTCCCGAGGCCCCGCCCAGTCGCAGCGCCTCGACGCGCAGCTGCGCGTCGTGCTGCCAGTCGTTCTTGCAGAACCCTGGCGGGCGGGGTAAAGTGGGGGGTGTGGGGTGGGGGACACATGAGCTCAGGGACGGTGTCTGGGGTCTCCCTGCCTCCCCCGGGGGGTGGAGATGACTGGCAGGGCCCTCAGGAAACCTGGGGGGACTGCCCTTTGGCTGGAAGCTAAGAGGCTTGGCTAAGATTTCCCTGCGGTTGACACCTCTAGGGCCCCTCACTTTACCCATGTGGGGATGGAACGGCTCTTACTCGGGTACATGGTCCTATATAAGGCCACGTGGAGGGAACAGTGCAACCTGTCCTTGATCCTTGGCCACCTGAAGGCCTCGGACTTGGTTTCCGCATTCCCTCACATCTCTCCTCCTCTAGGTAGCCTGCCTAGATGGCCTCACAGTCTAGGTGTGGATCTTCTCCTTCCAGATCACTTAACTATTCTCTGCTTGAGATTCCTGCCTCTCTACCTAGTCTGGAAGCGTCCTGAAGGCCAGACCGGGTCTCCACCTCCCTGTCCACCCCCATGCCCACAGTCCAGTGGGGACTCAGGGCACTGGGATTTAACGTTACTCAGTATGACATCCGGCAGGATTGTGCCCAAACCTGCTGTGCACTCAGCTCTTGTAAATTTACAAAGCCACTCCTCATGTGTCCTTTCATTTCTTCCTCACCCAAAACCTTGTGTTCAACATCCGTGTCCCCATGTCACACGGAAGGAGTCAAGGGCTCACTGAGGGCCAGCATTTGCCCAAGATCACACAGGCTGAGCTTTGGGATCCAGTCTAGAGTTCTGACCCTGCCCCTCCCAGTTTCCCTGAGGCTCCCTGGGGTCCCTGACAGGGGCTGAGGCAGGAGTTCCAGGGTCCTTCTCTCCCCCCCAGCCACTACCCTTACTTCATACCTTTGGGCAGAGTAAAGACAAACTTGTTCCCGGTAAGGGCGAGGTTCTGGCCAGGATCCTGCTGCTCAATGACATCGGTGACAGCAGAGCAGGTAGGGAGGGGGTCCCCATCATTTACCTGCAACAGTACCCCAGCCCCAGAGCCGGCCTGCAGGGGGTTCTCAGCTGTAAGCCTCAGGGCATATCTGCCCTCCTCATTAAACCCCACACTCAAGACTTCGAACTCCAGATCCAGCTCCTTCTCCTCGGCCTTCAGCCTCTGGTATTGCAGGGATGCAGGAACCCAGGGTTCAGGCCCCCTGAAGGCCATGGTCTTGCCAGGGACTAACCCCCAAGCTGAGCACTGCCCCCTCACTCCCACAGCCCCAGCCTGGGCCCCGTATGAAAGCCTGTACGCCGGGCTCACTGGGCTATACCTCACCCCTCTCTGTTTGTTTGAGGAGAAACCAGGTAACAAGCCAGGAAGCTGGGCCTGTCCTGGGGAACAAAGGCTGCCATTGATCCCACCCTTTTAGCATTTGGTCATTCAACAAATATTTATTGAGCATCTAATGTGTGCCAGGCATTATTTTAGACGTTTGGAATACAGCAGTGAAGCAAATGAAGGTTCCTACCCTCCTGAAGCTTCTCTTCTAGTGGGGGAGGGAGGCTGGGACCCCACTGGGAGGCTGGTATAAAAATAGACACTAAATATGGAAAATCAGTAAATTATAACATATGCTAGAAGATAAGTTCTATGGAAAATTAGCGCAGGGTCAGGGATGAGGAGTCCTGGCGTGGGTAGGGGGTAATCAGGACTTCCCATTGTCCAGAGAACCTGTCTCCACATGCCTATTCATTCCCAGGAGTTGTTGAGTTGGGTGGGTGAGAGGGTCTCGAAGGAAAAGGGACAGCATTTGTTCTCTGGGAGCATGGCCTTAGCACCTGCTTCCGGAAGCAATTTACCTTCACAATCAAAACTCACGATATGGGGCACAGCTTCACTTTACAGACACCCCAAAGCTTCTCACACTAAGCTGGATCCCATCCTTCCCGATGCCGATACCCGAGAAGAAAAGGGAAATTCTGAACACTCCTCGGTAAGAACCGTCTCTCTACCGTCACCACCACCACCATGACCATCTCTGCTGTCATCACCATCCCCACCATCCCTCCATCTTCGCCTCCAGTATCATCATCATCATCATCATCATCATCATCATCATCATCCATGCTACTCTTCATTGAGCAGCAGGCACTCTACGTGGCTCCATGACGTAGATATAATCATTCCCATTTTACAAATGAAGAGTCTGAGGCTGAGAGAATCTCCGATTACACAGCTAGTAAGAAGCTGAGCTGAGATCTGTATCTATACCTACACTCTCCCCTACTAACATGTCCTGGGACTGGCTCAAAGATTGAAATTCATACTATCAGGGGCTGCTCTTTCCCAACACCGGAGAAGTACAGTTCTACAGTTCTGAGTCCAAAAAGCACATTTATGGGTAGCATAGATTTCATTTAAGAGTTCATTTGAATTCACCTTGATTGGAATGCATTATTTTCATAAAGTAGGAGATAACCAGATGGTATTGGCCAGCCCCACTAAGGGTCCCAATGTATGTGGTATGCTTCCTCTGCAATGATTAAAAATCCGTTTCTTCAGGTCCCCCAAGGAGAAACTGAGTCAAAGAGGGTTTAGAAGACCAGAGTTCCAGTCACCTGATTTGCACATGAACTTGAGCAGGTCCCTTTCCCTCTCTGGGTGTCAGTGGCCCCGTCCGTACCATAAGTGTGAGTTGGGTGGTAAGTCTTCCCACAGCTGTGGTGGCCTGAGACTCTGTAAGTTGTATCGGGAAAGGCCATTTAGGGAAGAGGGTGGGTGGCCTCGGCCACCCGGGAACCTTTGCCTGCATAGCTGGGCCTGACCTACCAGCCTGGGTCCAGAGGCCATGACTTGCTGCTGCTCAGTCTAAGGTCTTGGAGATTCAGTGATTCAGTTGAAGCAGCTCTCTTCCCTTACATGTTTGAAGTGACCCCAAGAGACATTACAAGATGGGAGCCACTCCCTTCTGCCCTGGGAGCAACCTCTGTGCACGCCCATGCAAGCAGGCCCCATGCATACTCCTAGTCCAGTTGGCCATGTCGGTCTCAGCATGGTTTGAGGGCCCTTGACCTCTCCCCTTTCTGGCCTCCCCTCCCCAACTCAGTCCCTGGGGAAGGCTGTGTGTGTGTGTGTGTGTGTGTGTGTGTGTGTGTGCATGTGTATAGTTACCTTTTAAAATTGTGGTCGAATATACATAAAGTTTACCATCTTAACCATTTCTAAGTGTGTTTAGTAGTGTTAAGTACATTCACATTATCGTGCAACCAAACTCCAGAATTCTCATCTTATAAAACTGAAACTCTACACCCATGAAACAACTCCCCATTCCTCCCTCCCTCCAGCTCCTGGCAACCACCATTCTACTTTCTGTGTCTATGAACGTGGCTACTCCAGGCACCTCACAGAAGGGGAATCACACAGTGTTTGTCCTTTTGTGCCTGGTTTATTTCACTTAGCAGAAGGTCTTGGGAAGGCTCACTTTTGCCCCAGGCCAGGCCTGCCCTGACTCCCCTGCCTGCCTTTGCTGGTGCTGTTTCCTCCGCCCCAATAGCCCAGCCACACCTGGTGTCACTCTGGGTGTCCTGCGGACCAGCTAAAAGCCTCTTCCTCTGGAGCCGGGTCAGTGATTCCCTCCTCTGCCCCACTCTGCACCTTCCTCTTCTGGCTCAAGTGGTGACTTTGCCATACTCGACTGAGTCTTTCTTCAGGGATCATGTCTGTGTGTCCAGGCCAGGGCTGAGCAAGGGATAGGTACCTGGGGGACCATTAAAGCATGAATGAATGAATGAACGAATGCATGAACAAATGAATGAAAGGGTAAATGAATCGATGGACAAGCCCGACCCAGCTTTTGCTTGTACAGAAAATCATACGAAGTGGTTCTTTTGGCTACTTCATCTGGATCCCATTTGTGAGAAGTGAAGACCATTTTGGGCTTTTGACTCACACTTGGACTCAGAGATGCATTCTGGTGCCTCACTGCAGGCTGGTGCCCAGGAAGGAGGGCAGGGGGGTAAGTGGCACGGCAGGACACAGTGGGTCCTAATGGTCAGGCTTCTCTGGGCCTGGCCTCAGTTCCACAAAGTCTGGAAACCTCAGTGAATTTTAGCACGTCAGGGCTGGATAGCACTCCCATTTTATGGATAGAAAAACTGAGCCCAGGGTAGCAGACCATGACCAGATCCCTGCTCCCTTCCCAGGATTCTCTCCACTCCCCAGCTGCCTCCCTGATTCAGCCTTCTGTGGTTTTCAAAAGATTTAAACAGCAGGCAGAGGCCTGGCTCCCACAGGAGTCAGGAAGGGGCAGGGTGTGGGTGAGGAGGAGAGAGGCAGCAGTGCTGACTTCCAAACTGCCCTCCTCGGCCCAGCATGAGAGGCCTTAATGGAACCCTCCAGTCTTCTTTCTTCCGGGAAGAATGGCCACTCAGAGGCCATTGGCTTTGTCTGGAAGAGCTGGGCCTGTAATTAGCCCACCTCAGAGGGCCCCTTCCTGCTTCCCACAATGGCTCCTTTCATCCTCCCTTGTTGACACCCCCCATGGCTCCTGTGGGCCCTCAGACCCCCACCTCTATCCCCAAGGAGCCACCTCCAGCCCCCCGCCCCCCCCGACTCCTGGTCTCTGCTCAGAGCCAAATCCTCCCAGTGGGAACATCTGTGAGTTCCCGGATCTTCCCAATAGTGCTGGCACAGTTATCCCCTTCTACAGATGGGGAAACAGAGGTTCAGAGAGGTCAGGTAAGGGAGTGGAGGGGTGGAGCTGGACCTCAGGCCTTCTGATTCCCAGGCCAGTATGGTCACATGGTCATCACTGCTCCACCCCGGGACTTCAGCACCCAGCCCCCCTCCCGCGGCCTCTCCCCCAGACCCTCTGAGTGGAACAGTCTCCACACCCCACTCCTTTCAAGCCCACAGAGCCAGAAGCCGCGGGGTGACGGAATCATAGACTCACGCTGGTAAAGTGAAGCATGGCAGCCAGCCTCCCTCCCTGGCACAGATAGGAAAACAGGCCCAGAGCGGGATAGAGCTTCTCTTGTGGTCACTCAGTAGCTGGTAGAGGCAAAATTAGAAGTCTGGTCTCTTCCCTCCACCGATTGTGGGGGGTCAGGGCTGGGGCCTGGCTACCGCGACACTCTCCCCTCTGAGTGGTGCGTCTGATCCAGTCCCCACACCTCCATCAGGCTGTGTGTGTCCTTCCCCTCCTGGCCTCCCACTCCAGCTCTGGTGCGGAGCGCTGGCAGGAGAATCTTGGTCATCCCTACAGCCCTCTAGCTCTGGCCTTCTGCTGAGCGCGAGCTGGGGCTGTGCCCGTGACCCCTGGGCTCACGTGACAGCTCCTCTCTGCCAGCCTTGGCTCAGAAAGGATAAACCTCCTGAGGTAGCAGGAAGGAGAGGGTTCTAGTCTCTCTTGCTGCCTCAGGGACAGCACCGACGACCTTTGCCCTTCCATGCGCCTAGTCGCTCGGCTGTTCTGCTGGCTCTGAGGACTCAAACTCCTGAGCCGGCCTCCTCGGGGGTCCCACAGACTCTGGGGGTTCGGAGACCAGCGCCAGTCCTCCCCCCGGCCCTGGAGGCAGATAGGGCAGGTAAGCGGGGAGGGAGAGACAGGAGCTGGCAGGGGCAGTGCCAGGCTAGCTCACGACAAGGCCAAGGGAGGGTGCCGCCTAAAACCTTCAGGAGGAGAGACAAACTTCACAATCAGATGTAGAGACAGGGAGACAGAGAGGGAAACGAAACAAAGAGCAGGAAAGGGGAATAGAAAAGGGAAAGAGAGAGGAGAGAGAGACACAGAGACTGACAGAGAGTGAGGCAGAGACAGAGAGTGAGAAGGAGAGAGAAAGATGGGGAACAGAGAGACTGAGTCAGACACCGTGAGAGTGGGAGAGAGAGAGAGAGAGAGAGAGACAATAACAGGGGTGGAAAGAGAGACTGACGGGCAGGGACAGACAGGCAACAGAAGGACGAGGAGACAGAAGGAGAGAAAAAGAGAAAGGAGATACTGACAGACAGACCCACCAGTAGGCACCAGTGGGTAGAGGTTCTTCTGTGTTCTCATCAGACACAATGCTGAGAGCTGTGTCTCGAGCCAGCCACTTAACCGACTCTGAGAGCCTTTGCCCAGCCCCAGGGACTGGGTTCCAGATGGGGTCCCCCAGTCACAGCAGGGAGCAGAGTCCAAGCTCTGGAAAGGGAGGTTTCTGGGCAAAGAGCTGTGAGCTCTGTAT